GACCAAGTTTCACAAAGGCATTACCAATACTGCGCAATAATCTGTGGCGAAGTTCTCGGGATGCTGTTGGTGTCTCATCTAGTGTCAAACGATACATTTTAATGGCAAGGAGGTACCTGCCCTGGGCAACGTGTATATTCCCCATGTTTATTCTCAGACGTGCGGCCTGTGAAAATTGAAGATTTCGAAGAATAAGAGAATATGTATTAAGAGCGTCTGTGTAAAGTTGATGATTTTGGTATGGCACAGCAAGGTTAAAATGCACGGCATACGTAAGATCGGCATTGATTTGATCCGCAAGACCAAGTTGTTCTCTTTGTTTACATAATTGACGTTCCTTCTTACTCGCTTCCTTTGCCTTTTCTAATGCGCTACCGTAGTCTTTCTGTAATGCTAGCATGGCACTTTCTTCAATGAGTTTGTGAATCAGTTTCTCAACCTCCGCGCACTGCTCCTCCGGACTGTTTTCGCCACGCTTCTTCAACGGAGGTGCTGGGCCCATCGCCATCGCCGTCCGGCCCTGACCGGCGGGGTCAAAAATGGCGCCGCTGTTGAACTGCGTGAGTGCGGCGTTGAAGCCGACCCCGCGGTTGGACGTCATTGGACGAGCGGCCCCAACGCCACCGCCCATCGTGCCCACTCGGCTCCCCGGCACGCCCCATGCTGAGCCAATGCTTGTTGCGCCCCACCTGGACGGCGGGGCCTGCATCAGCGGGTTGACAGCACCGCCGCCACCAACCTCGTGCGTCTCGGAGACGTAGTTTCTGGGGGACGCCGCAAATGCATTCTCTGACTCCGGCTCAAAGGCCGCATACAAATCCTCCTCGGCGCCATCATTCGATGCAAATTCCATTGCGTTGGAAGCAGCAAAGAAAAAAAAGTTTATTTAAAAATATAGTCCAAACGTTGTGCTTACTCCAATTCCCCACCCTCTTTGCGGAAGACTGACTGGCTTGAGACGACCGTGACTCCTGCTCCCACAACCAAACAAAAAATAAATAAATAAATATGAAGTGAGAACAAGAAAAAATATACATTTTTTTTTTTCCAAATAAAAAAAAAAGGTACGAAAAGAGAAAGCAATATACATATATATGTATATAAACAGTAATTAAAAAAAGGGCCAAATTTCACTTGGCGTCTTGCAATGAAAACGGCCTTAAACGCCCGCAAAAATAAGCACATCGAGAGTATGGAAATCCCAAAATAAAGGACACAAACAAACAGCGTTTCTTTACTTTTATTACTTTTTCTTGGTACATAAAATATACAAGAAGCTTGTCACAATAATATAAACAACCATATACGCGCAAAAAAAAAAAAACTTTGTTTGACCCCGCCGCTTCCTATTTCCATCAGTAAGGGTACCCTCTTGGATGGCCCGGCACCGAGTTCTGAAATGAATGATGAAAAAGTTGGTTGGGCTCTCCTTTATCGTAACCTGATGTTGGTGGGGAGAGTGGGACCTGCGGATGTAGAGGATGCTGTTGTTTATACGTTTGTCTTTGTTCATGCTGTTGATAGGGATCATCCTGTTGTTGTCGAATAAATTGTGTTTGTACCCCTGGTTGCTGATAAGACTCTTGGTTCGGCTGTGGTTGATGGGGATGAAGCTGTTGTCCCTGATGCTGGTGTTCTTGTGTTTGTGGCTGTGGATGCACATACGTGGAAATATGCGGTGTGGTAAGGTTTGTTGTCGGAATGTGAGGCGCAGACGTGCTCAAGTCAAAGTATTTAGGCATGGCGTACTGCGGTCGGTGGTGCGGAGTTCCCATGGAGGATTGGATACCAAACAATCCCTGCGGATGAGTACCGTGCTGCTGATTTTGCTGCTGCTGCTGCTGCGGCGGCGGCGGTGCCCCAGTGGGGAAAAGGCCACCCCTCGGATAGATGGAAGGATGCTCCCCTACGAAAGGTTGTAGGGGCGGTGCGGGTGGGGGCGGAAGAGGTGGCGGCGGAACGAAATTCCGCCCCTCCCGTTCGTCCTCGTCCTCCTTCAGTCTACGCTCGTACTCCTCTTTGATCGACGCGGGTGCCTCCGGGCTCACATTCCAACGGTTTAGCTCCTTGTCAAAGTAGTACCAATTCTTTGTGATGGGCAGGCCATTCTCATCCAGCTCCACCTCTTCGCCACCGCTGGTCACACCGACACCGCTGCTACTGCCAATAAAATTACTCTCACCGCCAGCACCGGAATCGCTATCGCGGCCAAACACGGCGTCGTTGATTTTGTGCAGACACATGTCAATCTTCATGGCAGCGCTGGAAAATCCATGGGAGGGGAAAAAGGCAGAATCTGTCTTTTCCTCGGTTTCCGTGCGACCGTCAATGTTGATACCAAGCTTGGAACTCAGCCAACCCACAGCCTGCCGAGACATCTTACCGGCCACACACTCACACTCCTTCTTGCAAAATTAAAATAATAATAATAATAATAAAGAAGACAAAAAATAAATAAATAAATAAACTGAAACCAACAGTCATAAAAAGAGACGTCACACCACCAAAACTCAGATGCAACAATCGTCTGGCAAAAGACATCATATGATAGCATAAATCATTTGCACCAATGAGAGCGAAAGAGAATTGCCTCTTTCACAGTTCCATTTTTCGTCAGCCCCTCGTTGTTTTTCTTGTTGGTTTTCTTTTAATTGAAATGTCTTTTTCTTTAATCATCATAATCCACGTCCACCCCCTCTCAAAGCCCCCTCCTCCCATTCATTGAGGAGCCTTTCACATATGAATGGAATAGAAAAAACCTCGTCCCGTACTGGGCTAAAAAGGTACACTCCTTGCCAATATAAAGAAACAACACATACATAAACATAAAAAACCATGATAATGAGAATTGTACATACATGTGTCCGGTAACGGATAAAAAAATAATAACAATAATAATAATAATAATAATAATGAAGAAAAAGAACCTGTGATCAGCAACAATGACATTTGCGTCCCACTTTTCCTGCCATAAATGACACCTCTCACACAACACAACACAACACAACAAACAAAAAATATACAACGGAACGCAGCCACAAATTCACCACCCCGATAAAAATCATAGGGACTCCCACAAACACACACACACAGAGAGAGAGAGAGAGAGAGAGAATATGCGCCTGGCTGAAGACGTGTCCCCATACTACTCGAAAACAAAACAAAACAAAAAGCACAACAATGGGAAATCAAGGTTTTCCTCCATTTTATAAAGAATCCCCCACAACTCGAAGAAGATGCAAAAAACACTCATACACACAAAAAGGAAAAAAAAAAAAATGTGCCCAAAAACTGTATCCCACAACAACCAGGCTCACTCGAAGCTTAAAAGACGGCTGTCTTTGAACACCCCACTGCCGTCAGAACCCTCCCCTGCGTGAAGTGCAGTAAAATGTTCGGGCAAGATGCAGAAAAGAAAATAAAAAACTTTCCCCGCCGCCGTCCAGCGTGATACATTTAAAAGCAAAAATCTACACACCGGTGGAGAAGCAGAGTAGATGCCGGGAGGAAAGGGGGAAAAAATTATTGATTCGACCCCTCTCTGGGCTCACTTCCCCCCTCCCCACAAAAGGTTTCAAGGATCAAAAAAAAAAAAAAAAAAAAGACACGCGCAAAATAAATAAATAAAATATATCCAAATTAACACCATTTACAAAACTGGATCGCCCGTTTTTGTTTTTTCTTCTTCTTTCCTATTGTTGGAGACGAGGAGTATTCCTCCTCTTCCCCTACCCCCACCGAATTAAAGAAAACGTGGGATCACGGGCCCTAGTGACAAAACGGGGTTCATTCATGAAGCATGCGGGAAGGAGGCACCAAAGTTTCCCCTTTTCACCCCACATACCCACACACACACACATGGGCTCATACACTTCTCTCATCCAGAAAAAAAAAACACAAAAATACTGTTAGCCTCGGAATAAATTTAAAAAAAGTGAGTCCCCATCATTCCTTCGGTACCACCATGTTCACAGACTCCTTCTCCGACACGGCGTCATCGAATAGTGACAGCTCTTCGTCCAACGATAAACATCTTTCACCCTCGGCGTCAACAACAAGAAATTCCTTTTTTTTCCCTTCCTCATCCGTAACAAGTGAGGTTACAGCGGCAGATCCCTCACTGAAATTCGCCGCCTCTTCTTCCAGATGACAAGGCGGTTTTTCCGGAATCAAGAAGTATGCCCAAGGGGCACTGAGCATCCCCACAGCCCCCATGACGTAACACACAGAGGCAAAACCAAAGTAGTCCATAATTACGCCCGAAGCCATTGGCCCAAGCACTTGCCCAGAGTCCTGCACAGTTCGTATAAGACCCATGAAGGGAGCGCGGCCAGTGGATGGAGAATGGTTGGCAGTAAGTGACAGCAACATTCCAGAGCTGGTAGACTCCGCGACACCAAAGAACACGGAAGCCAGAATCAATGAAGCAAGAGAATTAGCATTAGAAAGAATAAAAAAGGCGATGCCCAGATTTATCGACGTAGGGATAGTCACATAGCTTTGGCCACACTTATCCATAATATAACCTCCCAAGAAAAAA